TCGGCGCATTTCCGCTGCAGCAGCTAACGGGAGCCGTTAACAGATGGCGCGGTTGTCAGCCTGTGACTATGATTTATGACAACAGCACTTCCATACCCACCAATCTTGGCGTTCCTTAGGAATTTGCCCACAATATGCCAATAGTATAAAAAATACTCCCTCGAAAAATTAATCTGCCAAATTTTAGACGAACTCGTGGACTGGTTCAGTCTTGGTAGCAGATCGTCGCCGCGAAAGCTTCATTGTTTTTTCGCTAAATTTCGTCGCCAAGTTTAATTTCCCTATTTGAATGTTTTCTTATTTATTTGAAAACTCCTGGTATGCTACCTAAAGGACTTATGCACATACAAAACTTTTTTCAACAGGCTTTCGAATGGCATACAAATCAAGTCTCTATGAGTTCTCACTTGTTCACAAAGTCGTTTAAAAATGTGTCAGTTTTTCGTGAACATCCCTGTAGTTTTGGTGACTTCGTAACATGTTACGAAGCTGTCAGAGGCGGTTGACACGTAATACGAATACCCGTCACGACGCCTACTGGTTGACCTGACCTGACCTGACCCGACCTGGTCTAAATGCTTAAAGACATCATCTGTGATCAAAACTAACACGATATTCGTGATCAGCACCCCGAAAAAGCCCTTAGCAGCCACACTTTACGACTTTCTAACAGGTCCCGTTTTTCCTGACCTTGGGTCATTGACCTGACCTGGAAGGTCAACCAATGACCCAGGACCTTAAAATTGGGTATCATCGGCTTCCTCTCGTCACGGGCAACACGCTCGTTTTTTCCGCGAAGCTCTAGCTCGATCAGGGGCCAAACAGCAAGGGGGGGTCGGTTAAGGGGGGGGTCCAACCGACCCCCCCTACACATTAGAAGCTGGCAAACGCCGCACACATGCGAGGGTTAATTTGTGACCCTCAGTGACCTGAACTCTGTGACCTGACCGGGTACCAGTGACCTCAAATAGCAAAATATGTGTTTGACGAACATTTCCCCATCGATGATTTTCAATGAAATGCATTTTACTAGATTTTACAACGCATTTCTTGAAATGCCTGTAAACGGTGAAAATTCGACCTTTGACCTGACCTGTGACGTCATCGGCTAGACCGAGGTCAATGCAATTGGGTCACAAGGTAGTTCCCCGCTGGGGCTATCCAACGCCGTTTGCCGCTTATCGCTATGGTGCGTGGTCAAGGTCAGGTCAAGGTCAGGTCAAGGTCAGGTCAAATTAGGTCAAATTTCAAAGTTGATATTTTTTCATAAAATGGGTATTGAATCGATGCAGCTCGTCACGGGGAGTTCAATGGTGGTCTTTGTTTTGCCGTACGAGGTCGCTAAATCGCTAAAAATTGAGTTCAAAAATTTGACGTCATCATTTTCTAACAGTTTTTTTCGCTATAACTTGGCCAAAAAACGAGATATCGATCTGAAATTTAGTATGTATATAGAAGAGCGCAGGGAATATCACATATATTCCGTTTCTTTCGAAACTCGGAAAAGTTTTGGATTTTTTAAAGTTTTTCTAAAAAAAAAATCAATTATTTATTTTTTGGGTCAAAAACCCAAAAGTTTGAAAATCCGAGATAGCAGTTTTGTAGCGCCGCTTTTTGTCTACTAGTCCATATAAAGAACTTTGAAATTGCTTGATAACTGTAGATTTGGTGAGCGTTTCAAGATTGCATGTTTTTTGCTCATTTTTGCTCGAACATGACCTCAGTTTGACCTCAGTAACTCCTGACCTAAGGTGACCTAAGACTTGAAATTTGGTGTGAAGGTGTTAAATTGATGCCCGGGAAGGTACTGAAAATTTGGCCGTTTTCTTGCTATTCAGGAAAAACCACAGGGGGGTGCCAAAATGCCCCCCCCCCCCAACGGGACGAGGGTTAATATACACTTGACTAGTTATTGGTATCATTTATCCTAACTGTCTTGCTTGGATATTTTACCAAGGCTATAGCTCAAGGCCCTATATACCAGGTAGGGTCGTCCGGCGATTCTACCTGATCGTGACGTCAGCTCGTGACGTCATCTGGGGGCAAGTCTTGAAGTCCCGTTTAAGTCCTATGCAAATGGGCGATTTTTGAAGCGCTCTAGAACAAACTCTGCTAAAGCTAGCACAAAACTAAGGGCATCATCGGAAAGCCGAGACATTTTTCTTCGAATTATCTAAGAAGCGTTTCTCACTAAACCCATTTGTTTTTCCAAAAATGCGTAAAAAAGCCCCCATGCCTCCGCAGCCTCCCTTCCGCCGGCCGCCACGCCGCCGCGGTAGTGTAGTGGTTAGGATGCTTGCGCCGTAATCCAAAGGTCGTGCGTTCGAATCTAGGCGCGGGTCGTACTTTATTTGAAATTGCAAGCAGAATATATGTTTTTTCTTGATAAATCACTTTAATTACAGCTAACCGTTCATAAAACTATCGATAACAATTGACTGAAACCCAAAATATAGAATACATTCTAATAAAACAAATTCAAATATGGCGGCCGTTGCGCCAGGCTCCGCCCCCGACTCCGCCCCTTCGTGTGACGTCATCTGTGCACTTGGACACACAGGGAGATAGGGGACGACATGGGCCTGCTATAGCTTTCTGCCTTGACTTTCTGCCGTTTTAATGCCACTAAAAAAACCTTAGTCGTCGCACGTGCGCTTGTCGAATCGGGGACCACCAGTCGGGCGATTCGGAATTGTTGGCCAATCAGCACGCCGCTTTTGTGATGTGATAGTTTGAGTGAGTTTGAGAGCCACTGGATATGGTAGCGTAGCAGCTTTTGGAAAGGTGCTACGCTACCAAATCGTCTCCTATTTGTCGCTTAAAGGGACCCTCCCACCTGAACATTAGATTTGAGTTGAGATAGCCAAAATGGGGTCCCTGGCTCACAATTACCGGTTTCGGCACTCACAACATCGAGAAATGCCTTAACTCGAAAATATTGAACTTCAAAATTGCAGCATTTTGATTCAGAGGGGCTAATGCAAAGGAATACCCCTCTGAATGTGTGACGTCAGCGCAGATATCTAACGATTTTTAAATGTTTGACTAAAACGTTTTGTAACACGCGGTGGTATATGCTGCTTTGCGCGCAACAAATGCCGCACTTTCAAATAAAGTCGCTATAGGAACAGCGGAGATCCCAAAAAGTAAACAAAAGTAAGAGTCTAATATCTTGAAAACCGGTGAATATTTCTCGATGAAATTTGGTATATATTCGTTTTTGCTCTTTCTGAACCGAGCGACATCACTTTCATGCCAATTCATTAACTTTTTTGAAGGCGGGAGGGTCCCTTTAAAGAGGGAATTGAAAGGCAGGGGAAAATTCCTTTAAATTATGGAATGTGAATTTTCAGGCATTTAATGTACAAAATTTATAGCTTTTACAGCAAAAAACGTTCCTTGTAAGCCTCTGAATGCAAAAAGCCGCACAGCCGCACTAGCACTAACACTCATATCAGAGTTATACTCGAGGGCTATGATACCTTAAAGGGACTATCCCACCTTTAACATAGGGTTTGAGTTGAGATAGCCAAGTTTGCGGCGAGGTTCAGAAACCACTATCTATCTAGGTTGCAACCCTCGCGGCCTCTTGGTGTTGAAGAAATTCGTTCCCTTCATTTGAAAATGGGCCTTGCGCAAGGCCTATCTTCAACATGGAGCGACCGTTAGTGTGACGTCACCTCGTTTAGTCATTCTGATTTAAATGGGTTTGTTCGTTGAAAAATCGCTTAAAACTTGGTCTGAACTTGTTGTGGTGCCTACAGAGTAAAAAGAATCAGCTTTATGACAGTAATGTGGCCTGGGGAAGGAGGTAATTTTGGGCTGTGACGTCACATATTTGAAAGCTTGTGTTTGGAATATGGGAAGCCTAAGATGTTTAATGAAAAATAAATGCCAGAACCGTGTTCCTGGTCATCCAATCTATAAAGTCGGGCACAATTTAACTGGTTTTAACAACATTTTAGAAGGTGGGATAGTTCCTTTAAATTCGATCTGAAAATGGGGGAGAAAAAGAGGAGGATTAGGGGAACCTCCATAACTCCTATGTAAACACGCTTATTGACTTCGGGGCGCCCTTGGATCGTAGCTTCAACCACAAACAGGCGTCTGATAAGCCTTCAGCTGCTTCAAACATGTGTAAAGACTGCATTTGCGGTCGACGAAACTTGTACGGACATTCCGTACAAGTTTTCGGGCCTTCCAAAACTTGCACGGACACGGTCCGTAGTGTCCGTAGTGGTGGCGACGCCCATGCGGCAACCCCTCGCTCACTAACGACTGTGATTGTGTGCGCCAGGGAGGGGGCGGCGCCGCGGAGCCTGGCCGCCGCGCTGACCCCGGGCGTACTGTCGCGGCGCCCGGCCGCCGCGCTGCCGCCGCTGCTCTCGCCCGAGCCGTTCTGGAGCAGGTCGTCGTCCAGCTGTGACCTGCGCGCCGGCTCCGACGGCGGCCGCACGCCGCTGACACCGTCCAGCCCGCGAGGTAGGCCACCAGACACACCAGCCCACTCCAACACCCCCTTGTAGCTTTTCGCGAATATCGCGCGCCGCCGCTTTTGGCAAACCTTATCATGTGTTGTCGTTACAACAATCACGAATGTTGAGTTAATGAATACATTACGTTAAATGCGAAAAATTCCCATATTACGAATACGAAAAGCGAAGGGAAACGAATCGTCGTAATGCACTCAAAAAACTGTATTTTTCGTCGAAACCCGTCGGAACGTTCAGTAAAATCATGAATAAAATATTAACAGTCCTCGTGCGCTCCAATCGCTGTCGCCTTTCGTTGCGTCGGCGACACACTCCCCCCACCCCGAAATCGAACCGAATAACCGATATAGTCAGGTAACACACGACACATTTACCTCCAGTACCTTTTGGAGGCCGTCTGTCCATTAACAAGCGCACAGTCTAACGATATACTCGCGCGCCTCAGAGACGATCTCAGGATCCTATGTACAACACCGATATTCCTCACGTCCTGCGTCACGTGCGTGCTCACTCCGACTCCTCGAGAACACACAGCCGGACGACAGGTCGGACATATGTACCACTCGGCGTGTTTAGTTCGACTGACCTCACTCGTCCATCTGATCCCGGGAACACTTTGGCTACCCGAGCCAGGGGCCAGCGGCCACGAGGTACATTACTCTCAGCAACTAGCACCACGTCATCGATCTGAATGTTTCTGGTATCCTTCGTCCACTTCTGTCTACCGATCAGTGTGGGCAGATATTCTCTGGTCCATCTGCGCCAGAAATGGTCTGCAATCTGTTGCGAGTGACGCCAACGTCTTGTAGCTAAGACAGCTCCCTGCAACTCCAGACGGACCACGGTCAGCTGCTTCAGAGGAGCGACTCGAGTCCGGCTCATGACCAGCGCGCATTGGATAGCGCCGGTCGCGTCGATTTGCCGGAGGTAGCCTGCTGCGCCGAAGGCTGCTTCCGAGGCATCGCTGAACACGTGCAGCTCTGACCTCTTCACTGGTCCATCCAGAGCGGTGTAACAGCGAGAGATCCGTAGCTGTGAGAGGATGTTGGCTTCCTCTTGCCAGCATCGCCACCTGTGAAGGTCCTGTTCGTCCAGCTGGCTGTCCCATGTAAGCTGCTGTCTCCATAGACCCTGCATCAACAGCTTTGCTTGCAGCATAAACGGCGACAGCAGACCGAGCGGGTCGTATACCGCTGCTATTGCCTTCAGAATTCCCCGTTTCGTCGTTGGGAGATTTCGTTTCTTCGGAACGTTTAGACCGATCGTGTCCTGTTCTGTGTCCCAGATCAGACCGAGCACGCGCTCAGAAGAGAGCGGAGTGAATGCGTCCAATTCGGAATGAGCCCTATCGGTCGGCTGAACAGATTCCATCACCTCTCTTGGGCTGCTTGTCCATTTTCGCAGGGTGAACCCGCCTGTGGAGACGAGCTTGGTGACGGTGTGCAGTAGGTCGGCAGCACTCTTAGGACTTTCTGCTGAGGCCACGTAGTCGTCCATGTAGAACTGCTTTGCAATGCCAGATGCTGAGTGCTTGTTGAGTCCGACTTCTACTTGACTTTCAATCACCTTTCGTAACGCGTAGGAGGCGATCGCAGGAGAGCACTTTGCGCCAAAAATGGCGACATTCATTTCGTATGTGTCTGGAGGTCGGCCACACTCCAAGTCCCTCCAGAGAAAGCTGAGGGCTGGTCGATCGCTCTGCTGGATGCGCACTTGATGGAACATTTGATCGATGTCCCCGACTATAGCCACCGACTTCTCGCGAAAACGCATCAGAATAGCCGGAAGCTCTTGAAGAAGGTCTGGGCCAGTTAGCAGCTCTTCATTCAGCGAAGTTCCATGGAACTCTGCGGACGCGTCGAACACAACTCTTATCTTCCCGGGCTTGTTCTGATTGAAGACGGCATGATGAGGAAGGTACCACCTTTTAGGGTTGGCTTTGGCTGCCTCGTCTTGTCCCAGCTTACGAGCATGCCCGAGAGAGACATAACTGTCGATGGCTTGTTTGTATCCCTTCGCCTTGTCAGGGTTACTTCGAAGTGATTTTTCAGTTCGTTCCAGGCGACGGAGTGCGCCGATGCGATTCTCCGGCAGCGACACTTCGTCCTTTTTCCACAGGAGACCACATTCAAAGTGACCATCGTCTTGAAGCCTGGTCGTGTCTTCGAGTATTCGAATGGCTCGTCTGTCTTCGTGCGAGGTCTCTGTCTTCAAGTCGTGTGAGGTACCGAATGAGTCCGTTTTCCACCAGTTCTGCAGCAGCTCGTTCAGCTCGTCTTCCTGAGAGGTGCTGCGGTGGATGTGCATCACATGGTGCTGATCAGTCGGAGTTAAGCTGGCGATGGAGCCAGTCAGAGCCCAACCGAAATGCGTTTTGATGGCGACTGGCTGACCTGCTTTCCCGACACGTACTTCTTTCTGGAGAATCGCTTCGATAACATTGACTCCAAGAAGCACTTCTACTTGGTCTGCGCCAACATCGGCTATGTCCAGCCCGTTCAAATGAAGCCACTTCGACCGCGCGGAGGAGCTCAGCTGGGGTACCGGAACGTTCAGTCTTGGCACCGTCCATACTTCATTTACAGTCACTGAGCGTGTCTCCGAATCCTCCGCCAGTGCGGTGAGCTTCACCGATGTCTTCATGGCCATCCGCTGCGGTCCGCTGCCTTCCACGTTGTTCAGCGATAGAGGCCGAACTTCACCAGTCAGCTGCAGCTTCTCAGCCAGCCGGTCGGTACACAGTGAGGTCTGAGCCCCCGAATCGAGAATAGCGAACGTGTCGACGTAAGTATTGTCTCCGTGAACCCTAACCGGCACTATCTGAAGCAGGGTCATTTCATCCTTCCGTGGAGTTGTAGCCGCGACTGTCCTACGAGTTGAACCATCAGTCTTAGAAGGGAAGATTCTGCTGCTGCCGTGAAGAAGGCGATGATGTCTTCCCCGGCAGTTTTCTTCTTCACATGTCTCTACCGATGGACAGTGTCGCGACCGATGTCCTAGTTTCAGGCACAGAAAGCAGCGAGCACTTTCACCGATAAACTTTGCTCGTTCTCCTTTTGACAACTGCAGAAACGAAGGGCACACGGACAGCTCGTGTGACTCTCCGCAGCTACAGTGTGGCGCGTCCTGCTCGTGCGGAGGTCTGGCGCTCTTTATGCTGGCCTTCGGTGCCGTGGTCAAGGTTGCTGGAGCTGAAGGTGTTCTTAGGAGGCTCTTGGAGCGGTCACTCTTGTAGCGAGTCGTTCTGTCGTAGTCCGTGGGCTTGGCTGGGAGGGCCGTGACGATGCGAACTTGTTGGCTCAGCCAGCTGTCGAAGTCCCTTAGACCAGGTCGTTTTGGCTCCATTTCCACGATTTGACGCCCCCATTCTCTTTTCAGCTCGTTCGGTAGTTTCAGAACGACCCGACGAAGGTTTTCGGTGCTGTTGAGGTCACCTTCGAATCCCATATTTTCAAGAACTTTGACCGCGCAGCGGACGACAGCATGGAATCTTTCCAGCGCCGTCGGGTCCAGCTCTTTCATGGGTGGTGTGCAGAAGACGGCAGAAAGATTGGCATTTACGATGTCCTGTTCCTTTCCAAATCTCTCCATGAGCGTTTCTAAGGCTACAGGATACAGCGCACCATCATACAGCATTCCTTCGACTGTCTGCTTGGCCAGCCCCGTGACAGAAGACTGAAGATGGGCGAGTTTTTCTGCGTCGGACAAACACTGCTGGTCGTGTATGAGCGTTTTAAACAGCCCGATCCATTGTGGCCATTCAGTTGCCTTCCCGCTAAACATTGGTAGTTTGATCTGGGGAACACTTCGATGATGGCCGCCCGGTGGGTACTGCCCCGCTGACGTCATATCTTGCGGTTTGTTTGCCACGTCGGAAATCCAGGATGTTGCAGAAGCAGTCCGTCTTGGATTTAAATGTTGAACCTGTCGTTCCTTCGGTGCATGCTCTTCTGTTTGATCTTGTTGGTTAGCCATGGTGCTCGTCGACCGGTCCGGTTTCTGCGCCGTCAAACATTCGGTTACTGGACCGTCTATTGGGGCTGCGGCACCTTCGTCGTTCATCTCGATCACACTCGATTGCTGATGTCTTTGGTTTTCAGCTTCTTCTCCGTCGAAGTCATTTATTCTTTCCCATTGCAGCTCGTCCTCAGCTGCCTGGCGTAAATCGGCCTCCTTTGCAGCCAATTCTGCAGCGTCCCTCGCTTCAACCAGACGCATCTTTCTTCTCGCCTCTTCCTCAGCCAGACGCACTTTCCTCGTTGCCTCTTCCAGAGCTCTCTCCTCTTGTGTGCGCCGTTCTAGCTGCTGCGCCTGCAGCCGTTTCAGACGGGCATTAATTTGGGCTTCTTTAGATGCTGTAGAGCGGTTTGACGTACTTGACGCTTGAGATCGTATGCTTGAGCCCGCCCTTCGCGAGCTCGCTTCGGAGGGTGCGTCGCTCTTACGTGCCATTAAGTACGACGTGATTTTGTCACCAATTGATTTATAACGCTCCTCCACCTCTTCCATGTAGCGTTCTGATATTCTTATATCTTCATTGTCATCTTCGATTCCTCTTATATACGCATCGTTTGCTTCAGCCACGTTGTCTAAAGCCTCTCCGATCCTTTCGAGTAGACCTTGCAGTTGCGTTCTGCTTCCGTTTGATGCGATAATGGTTTCGGCTGTATTACAGAGTCTCGTAAATGCTCCCTTCTTCCTGGCTCGTAACTTCTTCTGAGCCGTCTCCATGATAAGGGCTACAATTTACTTTAACTGTAACAGTGCGAGATAGATGCTAGCGAGTAAAGTAGGTCATCGTTACGTTACAATGAACTCGGGGTCAATGGCAATCGGTGACAAAAGCACACGATAAAAGGATCGATTCTTATCGATCCGGCCCGGAGGACCATTAATTGTTGTCGTTACAACAATCACGAATGTTGAGTTAATGAATACATTACGTTAAATGCGAAAAATTCCCATATTACGAATACGAAAAGCGAAGGGAAACGAATCGTCGTAATGCACTCAAAAAACCAGGGCTGTCTCATCCCTATCTCCGTAACGTGTCGTGTGCGACCAATGACGTCACGGCATTGCGGCGTTCTGATTGGGCGGCAGCTCTGAATCGCCCGACTGGTGGTCCCCGCTCGACAAGCGCACGTGCGCCGACTAGACATTTGTAGTGGCATTGACGGCAGAAAAAGTGAGGTAATGCAGAGCTCTGAATATACTTGAATAGAGTCTAAGCCGTTAGTAATACGTAAAAACGTCAGATAGGTTTCTTGTTCGTCTTGATTTGAGCTTTTATGTGATATAACTTTCACCTTAGTGTCGAGGTTGGCAGCTATGTGGGAGAGCCCTAAAGTTGGGTCATTTTCCATAGGATTGCATTACAGCCGTCCGACCCTTCGTACCAGTGACGTCACGGAAATCGCTGCTTCGGCCTAATGAGCATACCTTCTATATAGGGCCTTGTCAAAAAACTGTATTTTTCGTCGAAACCCGTCGGAACGTTCAGTAAAATCATGAATAAAATATTAACAGTCCTCGTGCGCTCCAATCGCTGTCGCCTTTCGTTGCGTCGGCGACATCATGCATCAATTCTACACCAAGATCAGGTCACCACTCACCAGGTCACTTGGTCACATAAAAAGGCTCAATTGTTTAACTTAATGATGACGACGCGCGACGATGATACAAATGCAGTGCACATGAGAGCAGTGCACACCATTGGGTACACGCATCATAGAGCTAAAAAGGCTCAATGTCTGCCATAACTACACCGAGTGACCGATCGCTTTGAACCTTTCAGTGATTGCTAAGAGTATTAGTATGTACAAAATGTTTACCTCAGAATTTTGATGTCGATGACCTAAGGTCAGGTCAATTTTGCGACCTTACCATTACCTATAAGTCAATAGGAGAAATCTGAAATGCGCTTCTTTTGGATGAAAGCCATTATGAACACTTTCAAACACTGAATTACAAGGAACTAAGACACACTGAACGTGAAAATGGTGTCTGCGAACTCTTAGTTATTGCCTATTCGGTGAAAACTCTGAGGGTGAAAGGATTTTGTCATATGCCCTCGGGCTACAGAGAAACAAGCCGCTAAACTTCTGCCTTTTTAGCAGAATGGGACGTGTACCTGTTGCAATCTTGAAAGATCTATAGCTTCAACATTTTTGAAGCCATTAATTTCAAACAAACTGGAACGTATTCATAAGGAGTTATACTAGCAAGATTTGGTAGTTTTTACATACCTATTTTGATTTTTTTTATTTATTTTATCTTGAATTAATTTCTTAAAATACAATTTGTCAAAAATGGGTACCCTTCGATTTTGCTCAAATTTAGATACCGTAAAGTGGGGCTATTTGGAACGGATTTTACAGTTTTTGGCCTCTCCCTTCAAAACGGTTGATATTTCCTATAGCATGTAAATTGCAAAAACGTAGTTCTCTGTAACCGTTTTTAGATAGGCCAATTTTGGTTCAGCTAGTAACCATAGATAAAGTTATTTTTATACTTGAAGCCTGTCTCAAATAGCCCCATAGTGTGGGGCTATTTGAGACAGTTTTGGTTGCAAGGAGATTGAAGAAAATTGGTCAAGCTAGGGATAATTCTTTTAGTGCCATGCGATTGGAAATTAAATTTTGATACTTCTAGGAAAAAGCATTTCTTTCAACTACAGTTATATAACCCTTATAATCAAACTTTTTGTTTTTCGTTGGACATAGCATTTCGGTCTGCTAAAAAATTGCATTACTTTATGCTAGGGCTGTCAAAATATTATGTGATCCTAAGCTTTAAAAAGCACAGGATGATTATCTAGGACTATTTCTTAGTCAACGGCAGTGAAATTTTCAAATAAAGTTGTTGTGTTTATTTCTGGCGGCGTGAAACATATAGGCCGAAAGTTGGTGGGGCTATTTGAGACAGTCTCGCTACTGCATTAAAGGGACTATCCCACCTTCTAAAATGTTGTTAAAACCAGTTAAATTGTGCCCGACTTTATAGATTGGATGACCAGGAACACGGTTCTGGCATTTATTTTTCATCAAACATCTTAGGCTTCCCATATTTCAAACACAAACTTTCAAATATGTGACGTCACAGCCCAAAATTACCTCCTTCCCCAGGCCACATTACTGTCATGAAGCTGATTCTTTTTACTCTGTAGGCACCACAACAAAGTTCAGACCAAGTTTTAAGCGATTTTTCAACGAACAAACCCATTTAAATCAGAATGACTAAACGAGATGACGTCACACTAACGGTCGCTCCATGTTAAAGATAGGGCCTTGTACAAGGCCCATTTTCAAATGAAAGGAACGAATTTCTTCAACACCAAGAGGCCGCGGGGGTTGCAACCTAGATAGATAGTGGTTTCTGAACCTCGCCGCAAACTTGGCTATCTCAACTCAAACCCCATGTCAAAGGTGGGATAGTCCCTTTAAACGTACCGTAATGCATTAACCCGCGCCCTGCTGGGGGGGGGTGTTTGAACACCCCCCCTTGTGGTTTTTCGCGAATATCTCAAAAACGGCGGCGCGGAGCGCCGCCGTTTTTGGTACACCTTATCATACATCAATTCTACACATGTTGTGAAAATTTCAGACCAAGGTCATTCAAGGTCAGGTCACCAGGTCACTTGAAGTGACCTCACCTCATAAAAAGTTTCAATGTCTGTCATAGCTACACCGAGTGACCGATCGCTTTGAAACTTTCAGCGATTGCTAAGAGCAATAGCTTGTACAAAATGTATATCTCAGAATTTTGATATCGATGACCTAAGGTCAGGTCAATTTTGCGACCTCCCCATCATAAGTCAATGGGAGAAAATTGAA